CTGAACCCCAATAGAATTTGTAAAGAGAAAGTGTAGGTACTGAGTAGGGATGGGTACCGGTGTCCGGTGCCATGATGGCACCGGTTCTGACATAAACGGTAGTAACCAGACCGAAAAGCAGCGCACATTTCGGTGCTTTATTTCGGTGCTTTTTTCTCCTGAGCTGTGATACACTTCTAGCCAATCATTTTACGTTTCCCAGGATAGTAGGCGGGGCCAGGTACGTACGTTCTGTTAGAGCAGAGCTCCAGATTAAAAATGTCCAAGGCGAAGCGGTCAAAAGTCTGGCTGTACTTCACAGCAAAATATGCAAACTCAGCAGCCTGCAACAAGTGCTTTAAGCTGATACTGTGATACTGTCAAAGGAGGTAACACCAAGAATCCGATTAAACAGCTGGCGATGCATAGCGTTTTTTTTAAAAGCCGAGAAATGCGCCGTATTTGATAGCTTGCTGCGAGACCTCACACCGTGCACGTCGGGTGGGTTGCCAGTTATCGGACCCGGAGCAACATCCCCCAAAAACCCAAAGAGGAGAGTCCTGGCCCCTAGCCCTGCCAGTGTAGCAGAAATGATGAGGATGATGATGCAGCAGCAGCCGTTCTTCTCTGCGTGAGTAGCTTAATGTTGTTCATGTGTAATTTATGTTGAGTAGGCTAACCACGTTATTACATAAATGCATGTAAGGTGAACTAGCAAACATCATCATAGCTACATGCTGCTGTCCTCTTGTTTGATGGCAGATACTCCCTTCACCCTGGCCAAAAAGGCTAAAATGACCAAAGAAAAAGTGCGAAACAGTTAAACATGAGAGGTTTTTGGACAAAGTTTGTGTTTTTTCCATTGTTTAAGCACTGCTTCCAGCCAAGAGTGATACCATATATGCCCCATAGCTGCAGAAAAGGCTAACATTGTTATCTTTTTACAAAAAACAGCTGAACATGAGAGGTTTTTGGACAAAGTTTGTGTTCTCCATTCTTTAAGCACCGGTTCGAGCACCGTTTAAGCACCGGCACCGTTTCAAAAGTACCGATTTGGCACCGGTATCGGATAAAACCTAAACGATACCCATCCCTAGTACTGAGCATCAGGGACAGTTTAGATTGAGGGATTGGGGAGAGCAGCCACCTGATGCTGGTGCCTCCATAAGCAGCTCTGTATAGAAACAAAGAAAAGGAACCATCATGTAAGGACAGAGCCATGTATGGCATATACCAGTAGTAGATAGAAGAAGTGGCTGATATCGATAAATTCTTCTAATGACTGGACATAGATGGACTGCTCTGCCATGATTAGATCATGGTAATAGGAACAGGTTCCAAGCACAGGATCAATAGAGGCTGGGTTCTACCACAACAGACAAGACCTTGGAAAAGATGCCCCAAAGGTGTTCCCTGGCCAGCTGAGAGATCTTTGCAGCGTGTCACCCAGGAGGTAGCTAGGAAGCATCCTAATCAGATGCCCCAAACACCTTAAATTGCACCTTTTGACGTAGAGGAGTGGCATCTCTACTCTGAGTCCCTCTTAAATGACTGAACTCCTCACCAACTCATTTCTGCCGCTTGTATTTGCAACCTCATTTCCGCCTCTACTCAGAGGTTGAAAGGCAAGCCAACGCAGTACAAAAGTTATCTTCTGCCGTGCCCCAATCCTAGTTTTAGATCAGCCCTTTGAGTATTTAATTATGTCCTATTTTGGTCTACCGGTTACCTTTAAGTCTGGTAGTCAGTACTTTTTGACTTTGATGTGTCAAGCTATTTGTTATTCAGAGTACTCTACCTGTGTTTTTGTGGGATTTTTCCATATTCTGGCTTCCTCCACTTCCTCTACTCATCATGCCTGTGTGCCATCCTGGCCTGTCTCCCTGATGGTTTAAGAGACAAAACCTGCGCTTTATGTAAATACAAATGTTTCTTATTTGGTGGAAGCAGTTGAGGGGGAGGGCAAAGGACCAAGAAATTAGGGTGGTTTACAGGCATGTTGAATAACTGAGGCTTTAAAATCCAAGCCAGAAGTCTGAAGCTCTTGAACAGCTGGATGAGTTTAAGCACAACCAGTTGGTTTCATTTTGTGATATCTCATCACAAATGCATCTCATTGAGCAGAGTTGGAGGAAGAGGTATAGTACATGCTAGATAATAGCATAGCATAATCATCTGGCTCCAGCTGGGCATCTCCATATTTACTGGTTTAATTAAAAAAAAGTGTCTACATTTTGACCATACACAGATGTTAGAAACCTAAATAGTGGGAGGCTGTGCATTGAAAGTAAATTGTCCAGCCCAAAGACGTTCCACCTCCTGTAACAAAAAAGGAACAGTTCCCTTAGTATGGGTAAGTACTATAGAAGTTTTTGTAGGAACTTTTCTGCCGCTGTAGCACCCCTCACTGATCAGTGAGGCATGTCAAAGGTCAGATTTGTTTAGTCACCCAAGGGCCAGTGTTGAGAGGCTTTTTTTCATTCCAGAAAGTTCAATGTATACGAGTTCAGCGTATCTGTTGTTGAGAATCAGACCATTGCATTGATACGTTCTGAGATGGGTATTTCATAATGTACACTGGCCATAAACCACGATGATGGTCAGAGGGGTGATAATGATCCATCTCTGCCTGCTTAGTCCTTCGTCTTTCTGTTTGGTGTAGGAGACAGGCTGGCTATGAAAGGCAGGTGTTGAGAGAGGTTGGATTGAGAGAGAGACTGTACTGCCATAGGATTTAGTAAAGGGAAAAACTAAAAGAAAACAATCCTATGCAACTACATTATGCTATAATAGTTGTTCACATAAGGATGAACAGATGAAAAACTTAACTGAAGTAAAATTTCATAAAATGAATAAAACATGAAGTCAGGTATATTAATACGTGAATGTTCAAATGTAATCAAATTTTCTATGTTAAGAATAAGAGAAAAGAAGAAAACGTGATGAAGTGATTTTAATGAAGTAACCTTTGCCTTAGTATAAAGTGGTTGTATGTGATTGGGTGTCCAGAGAAGACAGGAGAGAGAGGGAAGCAAAGGGCAAATGAGTATAAAAGAGGTGCCTGGGAACATTCTGGGTTATTTTCTCTAGTTCTTGCAATGAGCAGAACACATCATCTGAAGATAGGCCTGGGGGGTCCAAAGTTAGAAACTAGAGCAAATAATGCTGGCCCGTCAGTAGCTATCAGCTGCCTCTGAAGTCCCACAGGCTAACCAAGCCCTTTCTCAGCCTCCGGTGACCATCATCTGGTTTGGGGGTTATCACAAACTTCAGCTATGGAGGTCCATTCAGACTTAAGTCCCCAGTCTCCATGTCAAAGATCAGCTGGAAATGGGAGTTGAAGATCTCACTCACTGGGGCCTCTGCCAGGCAGGCATCTGTCGAGCATCCTCCCCCTCCACGTGATCAAACTCACTACTAGGTAGTGATCAGTTGACAACTCAGCACCTCTTTTCACCCGAGCAGAATGTTTCTCCTAAGGCCCCGAATTATGCATGGTCAATAGCTTCTAGATTAACATGTTACCAATAAAAACCCTAATGTCTAATAATGTATTTTCCACACCAGAAAATACAGCCACATGATGATAAGATTGGGCTGCAGCCTAGTGTCCTGGTGCCACGAGCACTTTTTGACGCTCTTAGAATTGAACATGATTTTTGTTATAGACACACTGTGGTTTGCACAGGAGTCACAGAACATTGCTCGGATTCAGATCCAGGCCGTTCCTCCTAATCACTCCCCTATAGGTCTCACTGTTGTTGCACACATGGACGTTTAAAGTAACCCCCAGGTGGAGCATTCTCAAGCACTCCACCCATGGACTCCAAGAAGGCCAGTTAGATAAGTGGAGATGACAGTCAGGACCCATTTCCTGACCCAAAGGCGCAGGGAACAAACCCTGTCATCCACCGGGAAAACCCCCAACTTACAGGCAGCCAGCCGAGGGGATACCCCCAAAGGCATACCCCAGCCTGCTGCCTCTAACCAAGGTCAGCTCCAAATTGAGATGTCCAGCCCTTCTCCAGGAGGCCACATCCGATCCGGCCGAGGGGATGAAAATGGGATAGAGACACGTGGATAAGGGCCAGAGATTAATAAGAGGTAATGATTAAATGACAGGCAGACACTGTCCCCCCAGAGCTCACTTACTGAAGGAATATAGTGTTCTGCCATTTAACAGCACTTCTTTCCAGGCGCCTTTTGTAAGGCTCTCCAAGATGTCTCTTATGGGAATTTGAATGCAAACTTTTCAAATGTTAAACTAGGCCTGTGTCCTTGAAACATTTCAGTCTGGACAAAATAGTTATTTGTTATTATTTCACTGCCTGTTATGCCTTCTGTTGATTTCCAGTCCACATTACAACAGTGATGCTCTAACTGAAGACAATGAAAAACACATTCCTGACATCCCATAGTGTGAGTTCAGATAGAAAAGACCTTAAAGAGGTTGTTAAATGCTGCTGTTTGTTCCTTCTAATCACACTTGTGTTTTTTTCCTCTCATCTCCTGTTTGCTCAAATTTCTGAGGGGGATTTTTTGTCAATGGCTAGAATTGAATCTTTCATTTACTAACAAAATCTGTTAACCACTACACCATTGGAGGCACCAGTTTCAGATTGAACTCATCCATCCATCCATCCTCTTTCACTTATCCAATTTGGGGACATGGGGAGAGAGCCTATCCCAGCTGCCATATGGTGAATTAAATAAATAAACGAAAATCCATATTGTAACGGAGTTCATCATTGTGGTAAAATTAGTGAGAAGTGCACTGCAGAAACACAGAATACAGCAAAATTTAGCAAAAACAAATGTGTAAAACTGAATAATGTTAAACTGTTGTTGTCCTTCATGGATTTATGAAACAGAAGCAGAATTTAATGTTGTAGACCTTCACACTGACTGTAGACTATTTTTCAAAATTATTTTATAAACATTTAAATGTATAATTTACAAAGCTTGTGTTTTCAGTATTTGTTTTTCACAATTAATAAATATCTTTGTTTTTTCTTCCTTAGGTGGGAGGAAGGGACAATCCTGCCGTTGACCCCATAATCCATGGCCTAAAGGGTGTGGTCCATCATGGTGAGTGGCAGGTCCAGTTAGTGCTGAGAGAGGAAGGACTTCAATAGTGTAGATATTCCCTAATATATAAAATCAAGAGAAAACATATTTTTGAAATCCGTCAAAAATCTTCTTTTAAACTAAAAACAATTCTGAGGATAAGGATAACACTGACAGGTGAGGCGAATCACACACTTCATCAGGGCACCTGGATGAACACCAACTTTTTTCCACTTGATAAAAGTTAACGTGAGGGTTTCAGGTGGTTAGGGACAAATGCAATTGCATGGCAGGATGCTGTAAATCAGGGGTGTCAAACTCAATTGCACAGGGGGCTAAAACTCAAGGCAGACTTTAGGTCGCGGGCCAAACAAGATAAACATTTATTGAACACACTAAAACAATGTTTTTTAAACATAAATATGAATAAAAACAGACAGGAATATTATTCCAGTTCAGCAAAGTGCGCTGACTTGGTTCAACATTACTTGGCAACCGGGAAAGTGAGGCAGGTTGCACTGGTGCATTTGTGACAGCTTCACTTGAAACGCCTTCACCGCATCATACATGCCATCTCTCCTCCTGCATCTTTACTCCCATCCTGCGGACTAGTCCGCTTTTTTCACCGCACAGCACCGGCGCTCCATCTGTTGTAAGTCCAACAAGTTTGTCCCAGGGCAGTGTCATGTCAGTGACACTTTGACAAACGTTTTTAAAAACGCCTTTTCCTGTCGTTGTCCCATGCCTCGATTTAATGTTCAATATTTCCACTCCACGGATGAAGATGGTCAGCTGTGCAATGTCCATCATGTCTGTACTTTCATCCACAGCCGAGTATGCAGTGAAGTTTTTGCTTCTTTCACACAGCTGTGTTCTTAAATCAGTGGCCATCTCACAAACCCGATCAGCAATCGTATTTCTGCTCAGGCTCACATTTGCCAAAATCTGCGTTTTGTCTGGACACAAGACGTCGCACAGCTTCATCCTGCAGCTCTTCAGAGCGGTACCGGGCTGATTTGGCTCCTCTGCCACGATAAAACTTGCTTTCGCACCAGCTTCACTTTGTGATTTTGCTCTGGTGACAAACGTCTGCTGAAATATCAGATTCTTCTTTAGCTTTTCTACTTTCTGTAGTTTCTGCATTTGGGTTTTTCAGCTTATCCTGACGTTTTGTCTCGTAGTGCCGTCTTAAATTAAATTCCTTAATTACAGCCACATTAGCTCCACTACTAAGACACACGGTTTACCAGCATGTCTGTAAACATATATTCAGTCTCCCACTGGCGCTGAAAGGCTCTGCTTTCAGAGTCAACTTTTTTCTCCACCATTGTGAGCGGCGAGCTTCACAATTACAGAAGTTTGACTTGATTGATGGGGAATGTTCCCAGTTAGCCTAGCGTTCAGCAAGGAGGCTGCAGCGCTGCATTATGGGATCTGTAGTTTGTATATTATTAGCGCCTCATATCGCCGGGCCATGCGTAACAATAATAATACATCTCGCGGGCCGGATATAAATGTACGCTGGGCCGGATATGGCCTGCGGGCCTTGACTTTGACACATGTGCTATAAACGGACCAAACTTCAGTCAGGAGAACAACTGAGACAATCCATCCACAATACGAGGTTAGTCATTAATATACTGCAACAACATGGGAATAGAGCCGCTGTGATAGAATTCAGCATGAATGAATCTATGGTACAGAAGTGGAGAAAGCGCCGTTTTTGGCTTTCCCATATTCCAAAAGTGCTTTGCTATTACTGTCGCTATTACTGTAATTTGCAAATGATGTTTGCAGCCGCTGCAATGCTTTCGACTAAAACAGGTGCAGCTTGATGACACCATCAAAATCTCTACCGTTGGCCAAATTTATATCGTTTCTACCGTATACCGTTTACACCGCCCACCCCTACTGTACAGCCAAGAAAACCAATCATAACGACTAAGGCAACATGTGCATATTGCTGCTCACCTGAACACCACATTAGCAAGTGTCCTGAGTTTATTCACAAAACAAAGGATAAAGAGAAACACATAGTGGTGGCGTTGTGCTAGGACTCTTCAGGCTGCAAAGTGTGATCTGAGAGAAGACTTTGTCACCTTCATGGGATGACATCTACAGATCCTGTGTGAGGTGAATCAGAGACCTGAACTAACTGAAGTTAGTCCTGTAGTGAGGACATTGTACCTTGATAGACCTAGTGACTGTTCTAGTGCACTGTTAAAATTTAAAATAAGGCTCAAATCATACTCACCTTATCACGACTACTGCTCCAGTGAGACCTGGTCCATATGGATCTCCTGCAGCGGTCAAAACCCGCTTAGGATGTGTCATGGTCCCTGTGCCTCACCAGCTGATTCTGTATTAGGCAACATGTGCTCTCTCTCTCTCTCTCTCTCTCTCTCTCTCTCTCTCC